GAAGGGTCTAGGCCCGAAACGTCAGCCTCTCTGCTCCTATGATGCTGCTTGGCCTGCTGTGTTCATCCAGCCCTGCACCTTGTTGTCTTAAATGGAAGGAAGGCTGGTTTATGTGAAGGGCTGGGCTGCGTTCACAACTCTCTGTAATTTCTTGTGGTCTTGGGCAGAGCAGTTGCCGTGCAAAGCTGTGATGCATCCAGATAGGATGCTTTCTATGGTGCATCTGTAAAAATTGGCAAAAGTTATTGCGGACATGCCGAATTTCCTTAGCCTTCTGAGGAAGTTATATTTCAAATGGCAGATGTAAATGCAGCACAATCTTACTACAACTTTACATTTCCAGTTCAACTCCTTGGAACAGGGTGGGAACTCCTGCCTCATCCTGCTTCCATTAAATACACAAAACGAGGGTTGGAATTAGGATTCAGATAACTTCACTCCCACCTGACCCCAGTTTGAAAGGGAGGCAGAGTTAAATTCCACCTCCAATCCCCCAGCTCCATTGGGCCAATGTTGATTGCCTCTGTGTGGAGATTTTGTTTTTCTGTAGATTGTTAATATTTAAAGAATTGGACTTTTATCATTTGACCCTAACCGTGCACGTATTAAATATTGTCTGTGTGTGTGTGGGAGAGAGAGAGAGTGAGAGATCGATTCTGTCAGTGTGTGAGACTGTATGTATGTGTATGAGAAAGAGACTGTGTGTGTGAGACAGACCAGGTGTGTGTGAGAGAAAGACAGAGACCGTGTGTATCTGTGTGTGAGGGGGAGAGCGAAGTGTGTGTGTGTGTGTGAGAGAGAGAGTGAGAGATCGATTCTGTCAGTGTGTGAGACTGTACATACATGTATGAGAGACTGTGTGTGAAAGACAATGTGTCAGTGTGAGACCATGTGTGTGTGTATATGTGTGTGAGAAAGAGACTCTTGTTTATGTGAGAGAGATCAGGTGTGTGTGTGTGTGTGTGTGTGTGTGTGCACGCGCGCGCGCGTTTGGGACTATTAGCCTGTATGTCCCATCATTGCTGCCTTAAGTAGATCATTGACCATTTGGACCCCACGACTAAGATAATCTCAAAAATGTCTACTCCTCAAGCCTTCCCCTTATTCCTTTAATATCCTCCTTTAATTTCGGTCTGGGGCCGAGTGTTCGATCGCATGTCTTCGGCCTCTGTTTATTGTTTCAGGATGTTTACGCGAGTTAGAAATGGAACGCCAGGCCAGTTTGAGGGAGCTGCCGGGCACTTGGCTTCCATTTGCTTCTGCTGATTGGAAACTTCCACCTAAAGCCCTGTGCTCTGTCCCTTTCCTTTGACAGTACTCCAAAATGCTGAAGCACTTCAGTGAAGACGATGCGAAGATGCAGCCGGATGAATTCTTCGGGATATTTGACGCTTTCCTGCAGTCGTTTGCTGAGGCAAAGCAGGACCTGGAGAACATGAGGAGGAAGAAAGAGGAAGAGGAACGTCGGGCCCGCATGGAAACCATGGTAAGGGAGGCATCATGGGAGAGTCATCGAAGAGGGGGCGGTTGGGGGGAGGGGGAGGGGTAGTGGGAGCACGGCCGGTATTACTCCACTCCACTGAAGGGTTTGGGTAGATTTTACACGAGGACATGTCCTCTGTGACATAGCCTAAAGGCCTGATTTCAAGCCGAGGTGTAATGTAACCCTCCCATATTGTGTGGTATGAATGTGACACTCACACAAACTCCAGTGATACTCAGAAGAGCATTTGTGGGCCTAGCGGAAATGAAGGTGAGCCACTAGCGTGAACATGTTTGCGCTCGGCTCAGACGAGTCACTTCCCCGAGCGGCAAGGGTGCCTCCATGGTAACAGGCCCAATTTAACAAAACCCTGCCGAACCCCTATTTAGTGTAACCAGTTTGATCATATGCAGGGCATGTGAGTACACATCAGTGTGTGAGAAAGGTAGACTACATTGCAGCTGAAATTAAACAAAATGTAGGCCGCTGTAGGGAATCGGGGAGATAAAAACCTCTCTGACTACAAACAGGAGGCATCACACAGTGGAGCAGATGTAGGCCATTCAGAATATCATTCAGTAATATCATGGCTGACTCTCAACTCCACTTTCCAGAATTTTCCTCGATTCCCTTCCTGATTAAAAGGATGTCTTTCACAGCCTTGAATACACTTTATGACCCAGCCTCGACAGCCCTGTCCAGTAAAGAATTCCACTGACTCACTACCCTCTGAGAGAAGAAATTCCTCCTCATCTTTATCTTTAAACGTGCGATCGCTTATTCTGAGATTAATACCCTCTGGCCCTAGACTGTCCCAGAAATGGGAAACAACCTTTCCAAATATAACTTAGCAAGTCCCCTAAGAGTCATATAGATTTCCGTAAGATGGAAATAACAAATAGCTGTTGCAAATCTGCTCCACACTCAGGATAACCCTGGATGATCAAGCACTGTCTGTTGTTCCTTCTTGTGGCACAGTGGTAATGTTTGTACTTCTGAGCTAGAAAGCCCAGGTTCAAGACCCGCGTGCTCCAGAGCTGTGTAATAATATCTCTGAACAGGCTGATTACAAATTATCTGAAGTTCCCTTTCAATCCCTCTGACCCTGAAACACAGGCAAACTAAAACAAATACATGCCTATGCACAGACACACACTGCGTACATGCATACACAGACACACATACAGAGGCATGTATGCAGAGATATGCACCACACATAGGCATGCCTAAACACAGACATATACATATAGACTTGTACACACAAGCACATAAATACAGACGTGCATACAGAGGCATGTACAGACATATACACACTTGCTGTTATCACCATATTCTAATATGTTCACCACTAAGTTCTAAATTAATTCAATGTAAACTAAAAAAAACTTTCATTTTGGCAAATAATCTATCCTGTGGGATATTATCATGTATTCTGCAACTTCATTGAATAGCGCCTATACATACTCCCCTGTCCGCACTGTTGGTGATTTCCTCAAACAAGTTCAGGATGAATTTCTTCTGTCAGAGGGTTGAGAGTCTTTGGAATTCCTTGCCACAGAGAGCTGTGGGGGCAGAGATTTTTGTGTATATTTAAGGCTGAGAGAGATAGATTCTTGATCAGTGATGGAATCAAGGGCCATATAGAAGATGCAGGAAAGTGCAGATGTAAGAAATGTTGGATGAACCATGATTTATCCAACAGCGGGCTCGAGGGCCCAAACTCCCAACTCCTGCTCAAATGTCTTATGGTCTCAAATCAAGTAGATGATTGAAATCACCTTGTACAGAATGAGATCCCACAAATATCAGTGAGAGAACTGACCAGATATTCTATTTAGTGATGTGGGCTGAGGTATAAATGTGGAGAAATTACTTGCTCATTTTGAGGATAGTACAATGTGATGTTCTGTGGCCATCTGTAAAGGCAGACATGTGGCAGAGTGGGAAGAAGAGCTGGGCTGCTTTTCACAGGGTCTCGGCCAATCTGCTGCTTTGACACCCAAGGCAATTGTGCTGCACTGGGTGGATGTAAGCTGTAATTGTCCCCTTTGGCTTCAGACTCAAAGACTAGTTCCAATACAAGTCCCTCAATTAAGTCAACTCTAAATAAAAAAAAAATGCAGCCTGTTCAATCCCTATGTCATGGCTGCGTGTAGGACCTTACTGTGCACAAAATAACTTTTACAACAGCCGAAAACACTTTGTGCTGGGTCCAGAGGCTGTGATAGGTGTCCTCCCAATGCCAGTTTCATGTAGTTTATATTCTTATTGATCCTCTTGATCCTTTCTGTCTTGTTTCCCTTGAGCTTGAAACATGTCAGTGCACATGATCTCTACTCCCCCTGCATCCTCGCCAATTTGAAGTCAAGAGCCGTCTGGTGTAACAACCCTACAAAAGGTTGCTCTCCTGATATTCCACCTACCACACCCATCGCAACACACAATATTGTCCTACTGCAAACAAGATGTTTCAAGAGAAACAAACTCCCATTTCCTTAAATATTAGAAGAAGTAATTCAGGAGTGGGAAGGGATACATAGTTGAAAACCCTTGGCATTCCAAGCCAGTAATTGCAGTATGTTCACTCCTGTGCTCCATTATCAGAGTCCTTGGAGTAGCTCACAGCCTTAATATCCCAGCAGTCAGTAATTCTATATATAAATGGGTTTCAAACCAATGATTCTTAACTGTAACTCCAACCAAAGTTGACAACTCACTGACAAATCCTTTCCTCCTTCAGCATTCCCCAAATGTTTTTATTCCATGACAGTCTAATTATGAGAAAATCTCCCTTCCCTATCTTACCAGGGAATATTTTACCGTGTGTCACAGACAGAAAGCAGTTGGTGATGTGGAGAATTTATTTAATTAACTTATCTGATTTTACTGGGCAGCTATCCAAAGGAACAGAAGCTGGAATTGTGTGTGTGAGCGTGTGTACGCATTTCAGTGTATGAGAGTGTGTGTGTGTGTGTCTGTGTGTCTGTGTGTGTGCATTTGTGTGTTTGTGTCTGTGTGTGTGTG